TTCCCTACATGCTACTTTGTGCATTTAGCAGCGAGGCGTAGCACACTCCTGCCAGCCTTTTCTCTCCCTTTCAGGATCCTCAGCTTCTTGCTCCTCAGGGGACGGTGAAGTCCAGACTCCCCAGACTCCCCATCACCGGGCCGCGTTTACCCCACCGGGCGGCCCCGGCTGCCGGCTGTTCACCGGGGCGCCAGGCCGCGGTCCCACCCACTCTGAGCCGCTAGAGGGCGCAGTCTCCACCTGCCGCCTCCCACCCCAGCGGGCTGACGCTGGGGATGGAGCCCAGCTGGCCTCCCCGCCTCCTTGACAGAAGCCGTCTCCACGAAGGAGGGGCTGCCTGGAGCAGCGAAGGCCAGAGGGGAGGGAGCCTGCCGAGCGCCCCCAGCTGGCGCTGCACCTTCCGTGCAGACCTGGGAGCCGCAGGCTGGGCCTGGCCCGAGCCGCCCTCCACACTGTGAGGCTGGCAGGGGCGGCGGGACGGGGTGCGCCAAGGAGACCGGGGTCTTCCTTCCGGCGTCTGACGTCTGCTCTGTGCTCCCGCCTGGCGTCCTGGCCTGTTTGCGCCAGCTTGGCTCGGAAGGGCTGTGGCAACCGTGGGTCGGAGCTGGGACACCAGGGGCCCCAACCACCAGCCGTGCTAGGCGGTGTCCTGGGGGTTCTCTGGACACAGCCCCCCTTCCCCGCCGGCGACTCACCCGGATGTAGTTGGCGTTGATGTAATCTCCGTCCTCCTGGCTCTGGGCCCGGCCCAGACAGACGCGGCTCTGGGGGTCTAGGAAGTAAAAATCAGCAGAGGCCACAGGTCAGAAGGTGACCAGCGAAGCAAACTCACGCAGGGCCAGAGAGAGGAGTCCTGTGCTTGTCACGGTACCTGCGAATAGCAGGTGGCCGATACCTATAGCATTCTTTCATATGCACGCAGAAGGGAGCCACAGAATGTTCCTGACCAGCAGTGGGCCGTGGTCAAAGAAGTAACTGGGAAGCTTCCCTGGCTGGTGCTGGGCAGGGTGGACAAGCGAGGAGAGGGCCTTTACTGAACGACATTCTAGTTTGGAGATCAGTGAGGCGCAGAACAGGGTCATAGCAATACAAACGGAAAAAGAGATATTGTCTCCTGAGAGGCAGGACTGGAACTGAGACTTCATTCCACCCCCAGGGCGTCAGCCTGGCCTTCTGTCTGAGGGGGCCTTTCTCCAACTCCAGTCCAAGCCGGATGAAGAAACAGGCTCCCCAGGGCCAGCTGGTCTGGACGGAGGGTGCCTCGGGGCCAGGAGCAGGGCAGTCCCCCTTCCGTGAGTGCTAACAGCCCCTGGACTGGCCCAGGCAGGCAGAGGGCTGTGGCCTCCAGACTGGGGGTTCCTGGAGGTGGCCTGGCCAGACAAGGCCGCTCTGAGCGGAGCGGGAGGGCAGAGTGTCCCCAGGCCTCGTGCTCAGGGGACCTGTGCCTGCCTCTGAAAGACAGGAGGTGCTGACCCCGGGACCCCCATCTGCAGCCTCCTCACTGCGTCCATCTGAGATCCCCCAGGCCCCTCTCGGGGAGCCATCCTGACGGGGCCTCTCCCCCCGCAGACCTGTGTGGGCCCTTTCCCACGTGGGAAGGAGGAAGGAGGTTTGGTGCGACTGGCTGTGTGACCTCCAGCAAGTTACACAACTTCTCTGTGACCTGGTTTCCTCATTTGTAGAATGGGGATAAGAACGCCATAGACCGGCTTCCTGGGGTCACACTGAGCAGTGCTGGCCTAGCCTCATCCTGGTTGCGGTTACTCGCTCCCCTTCCCTGGCCAGGCCCGGGCGCGGGCATTCCTCTGCCGGACGAAGAGCCCCTGCGTGTGGCAGCTCTCCCCTGGCTGAGGCTGCGTTCTGCCTTCTGAACGCCTCCAGCCCCAGGCCCCTGCCGCAGTCCTTACTTGGCAAGATGGTCTTGTATCGGTCCTTGGAGGCATGGCCAGGGATATCCAGGTCTTCAGGGCTGACGAAGTTTGAGGGGATCTTCTGGCGGGGGGAGGGAGCAAGTGAACAGCCAACCCCCTTCCAGCCTCCTCTCCCTCCACCTTTCCTAGTAGAGCTGGCACCCAGCTGTTCCCTCCTGGCATCAGGAGGCAGGTCTAGATGTGGGGGAGGGCAGAGGAGGGAGCCTGGGAGGGTTCCTTCCTGGAGACCCCAGAGTTCTCTCTCCCAGGGGCCCAAAGGGGACAGGCCCGCAGGCCAGGGTAGAGTGGTGCCAGCTGGCTCTCCTGATTCAGAAGGGCAGTGACGCGGAGGGAACCCCACGTTCTTACCAAGAATTCCTCTTCCAGCTGCTTGGAGCTGGGTGGCTGGTGCTGCAGGGCCCGGCGGGTGAGGGGGCGCCCGGCTGTGCGCAGAAAGTGCAGGGTGACCTCCTGGGGCGTGCGCACCGAGCAGATGGGCTCCACGGCCCCCAGGGACCGCACGTCCAGCATCAGAGCCACATTGGAGCCGCGCCTGCAGCACAGACAGCCAGTGCCCCGTGAGCCCAGGCACGGTCAGCCTCTGACGGTTATGATTGGTACGGGCACCTCTGGGGGGCGGCTCCTTGTCTCCCCTTGCCCCAGAGGCCCCGGGCCCTGTGCACCCCCACCCCTTGTCAGCCAGAGCTGGTGCCCCCACTTCCCGTTCCCGGCCCGGCCCCTAAATCTCTGACCCGCATCCAGGCCTGGAGGCCCCCGGCCCCCTCCAGGGGTGCTCAACCCGACCTGGGGCTCGGGGCGCAGGTGTGAGGCTGACGCAGAGCTTCTGCCCCAGACAGGTAAAAGGCATGCAAATGACATGCAAATGAGCACATCTGGTCTCCTTTTCCTGGAGAGGTGGTGAGGGTCCCGCAGGAGGGAAGCCCCTCCCGGGGAAGTTCTCACCTCTCCTGCAGGCGCACGTGCTTCTTGGCTGGCGCCTGGTCAGGTGGAAGCTGGGTCATGGCTGCCCTCAGGGGAAGGGGTGGCCGGCGGCTGTGCTCTGGAGTGCCCCCCGCGGGCCTGGACCATGCTCCGGCGGGGGTGGGGGGGCAGGGGCTGGGCCCAGGGGAGGCTCACTGGGCCATGACCTTTGACCTCTGGGCTGCCGGGTCAGCCAGAGGAGGCTCCCAGGCCCAGGCCGGCTTTCTGCTCTCTGGCACCTCCGCTTTCACTGGGGTGTCTTCCGTTCCCCAGGAAGTGGCGGTGTTTTCACCCTGGGAAGGCCAGGATCTCTGCCGGGGCACCCAGGAGGCGGCAGCCTGTGTTTAGAGTAAGGGCAAGATGAAGGGTAGAGACTGTGGGTGAAGATAGGAAGGGATGGGGGGAGGGGCGGGGCGGGGCCGGGTGCTGCCCCAGCCCTACTCTGGAGGCCAGGTCAGGGAGGGCGAGGGGGGAATACAGCGGTTCTGGATGGAAGAAAGGCTCACACACACCCCTTCTGGGTGCACGGGGGCCTCCTCTGGATGAGAAGGTGGAGGCCTCCTGAAGCCCTGGAGCCAGCCAGGGCCCCGGGCGCACGGGCTGCTGGCACTTCCAGCCCCAGGGGCATCTGGCTCCTGGGGTCTCTGTCCAAGGACAGAGGCTGGGGGTGTTTCCTTCCTCCTCTGCCCATCCCCCCCCAGCCCGCCTCGGTCGGTAACCGTCACAGGAAATGGCCTCACCAAGCCCTTGAGCGACAGCGCACATGGGGAGGCAACAGCTGGGGGCACAAGAGGGGGCGCAGAGGTGGTGGGGGGCCCTCCCCTGGGGGACAGTCCCCATCTTCCAGACCAGAGTCCCAGCTTCCGAGTCTGGGAGGGGCTTTGGGGTCAGCGCGCCCGCAGGGGCCGCGCGGGCAGAGAGGCTCTCGCGGCAGGAGGGCCTCGTCCGCCTCTTCTCTCCCTTCGGGGCCCTGCCCGGCCCTCGGGGACGTCAGGGGGTCAGCACCCGCGCCCCAGCCGGGCGCCGTGGCCCCGGGCACCCTCCTGCTCATGCCCCCCCAGACGCCCTCCCGTGTCTCCCCGGGTTCGCACGGCCCTGGCCCGCGGGGCTCCTCCCCGGCCCGCTCAGGTACGTACTGAAGAGCTGTGTCCCCCAGCGCCTCTCGCCAGCTGTCTGTCTGTCTGTTGGTCTGTCTTTGAGGGCTGAGCAGGCTTCAGGAAGCCAGCTTCCTCCCTCCGCCCCTCCTCACTGCCACCCACGCACGCCCCAGCTGCCTGCTGCCACCACCAGGGGTCGGCGGCCTCCCGCCTCTGCCCCTGGGGGGGCCGCTGGCCTGTCCCAGCACCTTTGCCACGGGCCCGGCCCTGCTCGCCGGGAATGGCCGAGGCGCTGGGCCGTTCTTGACCACCCGGCCCCCTCCTCCAGGGCATCTCCTCCAGGTCCTGGGCGCGTCCAGCCTCCGCCAGCTCGTGGGGCAGGGCCGAGCCGAGCCTAGCTCCAGGCTGCCCCGCAGAGGCCCGGGTACTCCGGCTCCCACGGACTTCGGCTGGAGACTGATTTCCACTTCTTTGCTTCTGCCTCGGAGCCTTGCCCTGGAAGCCCTCGCCCCTTCAAGCCGTGGGAATCATGCCAGGCACAAACAGAAGTGGGCACAGACTGGGTGGGGCAAGGGGAGGCAGGAGTTCTTGCTACCCAAGGGGCCAGAAGGGTCAAACCAGGCCCTGAGCCACACCCCGGCGCCCAGCCACCTCTGGCCTGAGCCGGGCCAGCTGCCCTGGGAGTCGGTAGTGAAGACAGCTTGGAGGGTAGGAGGGTCTCGGGGCTTTTCCCGTCCCCAGGGCCCCCCAGGCCTCCTCCCAGAGCCCTGACGTCTACTCAGAGACCCACGGAGAGCGGACAGCCTCTGGCTCTCACACCAGGGGACCCCTGTGTATTCTTTGCTGCTGGGGTGCCTGAAGCCTGGGCCTGGGAGGGGGGTGCCCAAGTCCAAGACCCCAGTGGCCCACCTCTGCCTCACCAGCGGGCCTCCTGTTGGCTCCCTGCTCGGCTCCTGTCACCCTGAAACAGTCCCCACACCCTCTGCTCCCGGCGCCCACAATCCCATCTTTCCCCTTCCACCCACTTCTCTGATTCAGCCGTCCATCAAAGGGTGACAGCAAAAAAGCACTGATGTACAACAGGCCCGGGGGTGGGCACGCAGGAGGGGCCACTGGAGAACGGCTGGCCTCCAGGTGGAGAACAGGATGGACCTCTGGGGCTCAGGAGGTCCAGAGCTGAGGGAGCACTTGGTTCTGGTGCCCAGAATGGGAGGAGGGGACAGGAGCTTGGGTGGACCTGTGGGGTGTGACCTCCGCCTTAACTGGCCCTCAACCCCACCCGTGTTTCCACTAGTGGATGGCGGGGGCCTGGGGATCAAAAGGGGGGCAAGAGGGGATTGGAAAGAGGGCCACCCACTCTGGGGCAAGCTGTTGATTGTTATCGAGAACAGGAAGCTAGGGTACCGCAGGCGTGGGGAGGAGGAAGCGGGCAAAGCCCTCCGCAAACTGCTCTGCCTGCGCCCTCGGCTCTTAGGGTCTGAGCCCTCTGGCTGTGAGCACGCCTCCCTCCCAGGTTTGAGAAGCCGGAGGTTGAGCTCTTGGGCGGAGAGCAAGGAAGCTGGGGGCCAGGAAATGGGGAAGAGGGGTGGGGGGTGGGTAGTGGTTGGGCATTAGGCAAGACCCCGAGGGTCTCTCAGCTCCCTTTAGGTGTGTTTGGGGTAGGCGGATAGTCACCTTGCCTCTTGCCCACCCCTCGCCCCTTTCCACTCAGAAACGCCTGGACATCTTTGGAGGTGCAAACACAGCTGCGGGGCGGGGGGCGGCACTGCCACAGGCCTCAGAGAGGACAGAGCCCTGCAACAGCCCCGCAGCCTGGCCTGGGGGCCGGGGGTCCCCGCTGTGCCCTGTCTGGGGTGGACTCTGCCCCATCCAGGCTGCTGGGAGCACGTGAAGGCCTGTATGCCCCAGGAGTGACTCCTGTCCCTTAACACCCCCCCCCCCCC